ACATCTATGCCATGTATTGGCCAAATACATTATTTTCCCTTTCAAAGCAATGAAAAACAGTCAACAAGCACATCAAATAGTCTAATAACATTTGTTTGTTTTTTTTTGCCCCCATTTCAGAGAATGTATGTACATGCACTTACACCGAGAAAACTGCTATGATTTTTTTTAATAAACTGCACAGTGTTGTTACCACACCATACAGACTTTACAGCTGGTAATGTATTAGCAGGCTACCAATCACATAAAACATTATCACAGTGTTTAGTGGAATCAGGCCGGTCTTTCCAATACACACTGCTCAAAAAAATTAAAGGAACACTTTTTAATCAGAATATAGCATCAAGTCAATTAAACTCCTGGGATATTGATCAGTTAAGTAGCAGAGGGGTTGTTAATCAGTTTCAGCCGCTTTGGTGTTAATGAAATTACCAATAGGTGCACTAGATGGGCAACAATGTGACAACCCCCAAAACAGGAATAGTTTTACAGGTGGAGGCCACTGACATTTTTTCCCTACTCGTCTTTTCTGACTGTTTTTCACTAGTTTTGCATTTGGCTAGGGTAATTGTCACTATTGGTAGCACAAGGCGATACCTGGACCCTACAGAGGTTGCACAGGCAGTCCAACTCCTCCAGGATGGCACATCAATACGTGACATTGCCAGGTTTGCTGTGTCTCCTAGCACAGTCTCAAAAGCATGGAGGAGATTCCAGGAGACAGGCAGTTACCCTAGGAGAGCTGGACAGGGCTGTAGAAGGTCCTTAACCCATTAGCAGGACCAGTGTCTGGTCCTTTGTGCAAGGAGGAACAGGATAAGCACTGCCAGAGCTCTACAATATGACCTCCAGCAGGCCACTGGTGTGAATGTCTCTGACCAAACAATCAGAAACAGACTTCATGAGGGTGGCCTGAGGGCCCAAAGTCCTCTAGTGGGCCCTGTGCTCACTGCCCAGTACCATAGACCTCAATTGGCATTTGCCACTGAACACCAGAATTGGCAGGTCCACCACTGGCGCCCTGTGCTTTTCACAGATGAGAGCAGGTTCACCCTGAGCACATGTGACAGATGTGAAAGGGTCTGGAGAAGCCATGGAGAACCTTATGCTGCCTGTAACATCATTCAGCATGACTGTTTTGGTGGTGGGTCAGTGATGGTTTTGGGAGGCATATCCATGGAGGGACGCACAGACCTCTACAGGCTGGACAATGGCACTCTGACTGCCATTTGGTATTGGGATGAAATCCTTGGACCCATTGTCAGACCCTACACTGGTGCAGTGGGTCCTGGGTTCCTCCTGGTGCACAACAATGCCTAAACTCATGTGGCAAGAGTTTGTAGGCAGCTCCTGGAACATGAAAGAATTGACACCATTGAATGGCCCCCTTGCTCGCCTGACCTAAATCTAATAGACCACCTCTGGGATATCATGTTTCGATCCATTCGACACCGCCAGGTTGCACCTCAGACTGTCCAGGAGCTCAGTGATGCCCTGCTCCAAATCTGGACAGAAATACCCCAGGACACCATCATCATCTCTTCAGGAGCATGCCCCAACGTTGTCAGACATGCATACAAGCATGTAGGGACCATACACACTACTGAGTACCATTTTGAGTTTCTGCAATGAAATTTCAGCAAAATGGACTAGCCTGCTGCATAATTGTTTTTCACTGTGATTTTCAGGGTATCTTTCAATTCAGTCCTCTGTAATTTTATAATTTTCATCAAACGATGGTGCATCCTACATTCCCAACACATCACCCAGTCCATATCAATATAGATATCCTGCTTGAAATTTTCACAATTGAGATCTGATGTGTTTTCAAAGTGTTCAATTTTTTTTGAGCACTGTACTTTTTTCTGAATATGCCAGTAGGAGCTTCAGAACCACATCCAAAAGCAGCCCTCCTGTTCCAGGCACTGGGGTCCCATTGGGTCAGAAGTGGGCCTGACAGCTTTGAAATTTTTCACACCACTACAGTAACTAGGATATAGTGCTGAACCTAGCCTTCAGCAGATGGTTGGAAAATACAGTACTGACAGGGTAGTGTAGACATGGCTTCAAAGGAAAAAAAAAAAAAAAGTTTCTCCAAAGGGTCAGGAACACAAAAGGGTTGCTCTCCTGTGTCATCAGCTCACTTGCTACTAAGCAGTACTGGTATATTTCACCACCTTGCTTGGGAAGCTTCAGCTGGGCGAAATGGAGAAGAGAAGAGCAGAGCAGGCATTGGGGGAGTCTTTGACAGCGGCGAGAGCACCAACTATAATCTACACCACTGATCTCTATAGTAGTGTACCTTTAACTGGAGCAGTACCTTCATACACCTAACACTGTTCTGTGGGATATCAGTGTACTGTAGTATGAGATACCCTATCTCAGAGCACTGTACTGTTATAAGATATTTGTGCACTGTACTATGCTACACCTCGTGTGCTCTCCTGTAAAACCATTATATCAGTAGACTGATCTGTAACATACCTGTCTGTACACTGTGCTGTAATACTAGAATATCAGTGCACTGTGCTAATATATACCATGTGGACTCTGCTGTAATATTATATGAGTGCTCTGTGATATACCCGTTACATGTGGCTTCCTCATTGCTTTGATACTCCCAGCAGACATTTGACGATGCATTGCAGAAGCTAATGGGTACCAATGGATACCTATAGCAGACATGTCACACAGCAAGGTCACAATAGCTATTGAATAGCTATTTAGAGTTTTCTATATCTGGCAGACCTTTAAATGTGAGAAGAGATTCTCTGATCTAATACTAAAACTTAATTTTATGTAACTATTGCAAAATGGTAGGTGTAAAAAAAAAAAAAAAAAAAAAAAAAGGAAGCCAAATCTCACTGAGAAGACCATGCCTCTGAAAAGTAGTGGTAGCATGCTACAAGAAGGTTTCCCAATCAATTAAAAAGAAAAGCAAAAAAATATATAAGTAAATAAATAATAAGGTACAACTGAGTCAAATTTAAACAAATTCTAAAGGAAAACCCTTTGTTGTATTCTGTAGCTACAGGAGAAGATACTAGGGAAGGACAATGACCTTACACAAGCACACACATACAAAGCTACCTGAATGTCTCAGAAGAGTGAAGACAAAGCCATGTTGGACAGAGTGCTCAGGTACCAGTGTTCAAGCAAACAAAGCATCCCAATGAATCATCAGAGAATTGACAACATTGTTCAAAGTTTACCTTTCCTTGCTCCAGTTCTGCTTTCCCCAGCCTGCATGGGTTATGAATCCGAGTTATATACTAAAACTATGCATGATCCACAGACAGCAGATGATTTAGGAGCAAATGGGGTGACAAGATTAACCTGAAAGTGGTTGATTCGACACTAGTGAAAGTTAAGCACAACATTCAGAGAAACTCCCAACCCCAAGACTTATTCACTCCAAGCGAGGCACAACTGAGACTAAGTGCGCTGGCATGAGGTGGTGAGCACACATTTATAAAACTACAGAGGGTGCAAAAAGTCACTGGATGTTCTATAACTTTAGAATCCAAGCCAGTTTACAAGAGTATGTTCTATGTACAGTTTGTCCCTGAACACCACCAACATTGTAAAGAAACGTGTGGCTTCCTATGACACAAGCCCCCACCTGAAATTAATTGTTGGAACTGGGATATAAACTGTCAACTGAAATACAGAGTACATAGGTTATTGAAGAAAAAAAAAATGAAAACCAGAAAAAAGGAGCAAAATCAAATTTTTGGTTTTATTGTTTTTAATCAAATAAGAAAAAAAAACATTGGCTTATAAAAAAACTGAAGTGAAAATACATGTATCACAGCATTTACATCTTTTAAACATTTCAATTGGCGTATCAAAAGAGTAGGATGCTGGAACTGTACAACAGGAAAAGGACATTTTACCAATACTCTTTTGCAATTTAGCAAAAATGTTAAAAAAATGACTCCAGTTTTTGTACGTTTTCCCATTATTATTCATTGATTGTGTATCTTGATACATTCGGCTTTGACTTTGTTGGTATAGTATAATGCATTGGATAAATGGGGAACTGCTCCTTCCTGACTAACTCAAGTAGGTCACACCCATAAATTACTTTTGGCAGCCCACTCCATTGGGAGAGATAAGCCAATCCTTTTCTTTTTGAGATTTTTTTTTTTTTTATTTCAAATGTCCAATTTGATTAGACACTCCCCTGTTTAGGGTCACCAACTCAAGCCTCTAATATATACAATAACTGGGCCCTTTAATATCTTAACAAATCTCATTCTAGTGTGGGTGGAATGATGTTTAGCTATCGAAGGCAATGGTACATAAAAGTTCTACTGTATTCCAAGAGAAAACTCTAATAGATTTTCCCAGCAGTGGTGCTGCTGATACCTGTACAATTACAATTCCTGAAATAATGTAGGAGCTGCATAAGGGGGGTAAAATTTCTGTTTACCACACAGAGGGGACCCAAACAGATAGAGCCTTTCCACTTAAACTGGAAATCCTCTAAAAGGCCAAACATTATTTCATTGTAATTTAGCACTGAATTTTGATTGTGACAGTTCTAGCATTAAACAAATGCTAAAAATGAAAATTAAAAAAAAAAAAAAAAAAAAGAAAGAAAGACACCCTGTACAGTCAGAAAATATACCTGTCAACATTTACGTTGAAGGCAGCCATTTTGCAGGCTGAACCAATGCGCACCCCATCAATTCACCAGAAGCAATAGCATGGCTGTGGCTTAAGGTGCCTCACAGAATAATGATGTCACTAGTGAATGGATAGGGTATGGTTTCATGACTGGTCCAGCTCCTGAAGTGGCCACCCCTACCGTGTATGCGTCACAGGTAGTCTTGAAGGTCATGGCATATGGTTGCTTAGAAACACGCTGCATTATTTATTGTAACAGTAAGAATTCTAGTGCTGTGGGGCTCTGTACAGCACAAGGCAACTTCTCTTTGGGAGCAGAGTACATCAACTGCAAAATGATGTGATTTTTTTTCTTCTTTATTTTCTGTTTAGGAGTGTTTTTCTTTTCGGCTGCGGGGAGAATCTGCTCCATTTGAGGTTACTGTTCCATTAACGCCATTTTCTAGAAAGAAGAAAAAACAAGTTGAAATACGGTGTATTTTTGTACCATTAATGACAATTAAATAGTTAATGAATTTAAAGTTAGTTTACAGTATGGGGACTTCTATAATCTGTAAGACATGCAATCTATTGCAATATGTTATTTGTATTAAAATGGAGTATATGCATGTGAACAAAATGAAAAATGTTTGTATTGAACGGTCTTGGTATTTATACAGCTGTTAAGACATTTTCACTTTGTAACTTTCCAAAAACATATCAGACAGGGCATAACAACTGCCTTCCTCCACGTAATCAAGCAGAGCTAACAGCCCATCCCCTCCCATGTGTTCTTAATGGCTAGTAAGGCCACCCACCAGTGTATGAAAACATCCCTATTTTCAGGCACTCACAGGGCTGGAGAGGCCATCTGAAGGCATGTGTGTTGTAACTGCTCTGTGCTTTTATGGCATGGATAAGTTTATTTTAAGCATTTTATTCTGTGCATGTGACGCAAACTTGCGGAATGAGAAAAAGACCAACAGAAATAATCCATTTAGAGCTGACCTTCTGGCAAATAGTAAGAAGTCAATGAATACAGTTAATGTATTCATTAAAAAAATCATGTATTTTACCTAACACCGACACGTGGACCTGGACAGGAGGTCAAGCCCCAGGGATGACCTCATCAGCAAGCTGCTGTTCCATTACCAATGACCTGCATCAGGCTGTGTTACCTAAAGCCCAACTCTCGGTGCCCTCCAATCAACTTCCATACCCCCTGCACATATGTTCTGCTTTTTTTTTATACTCACCTTTTTAGAAATCTTCATGGTTGTTACCTGAAACAGTGGGTCTTCTTTCTCTCTGCCTCTTCTCTGGTCCTGAGGGTCCTCTAATGATGTAAAGAGTAGCTCTGACATGATGACACCAGCACTGCCCTATGCTTTATTACACTATGAATGAAGGTTGCAGTGGAGGCTGGGCCGTGACACCTTGCACTCAGAGTAGTTTCTACATCTAACTTAGAATACTGAGGATATCTTGTAGCAATACAAAAGTGTTGCTGAAGATTGCTACGGTTTGAAATAGTATTGCAGCCTAAGCTGCTTTTTTATTTTGTACAATGCCTGCAGGTAATTTTCATTAAAAAAAAAAAAAATTGCTGGGAGCTGGACTTTAACTGCTGTTGGGACTTCGTCTGCAGAGTAGTGCAATAGCTCAGTCTTGTTCAGGTGCGGACTGACCATTTGGAAACTCGGGCACTGCCCGAGGGCCCGGGGTCAGTAGGGGGCCCCATGAGATGCCCCTGGTACCTTTTTCATAGGCTTTTATGAGTATGGGCAAGGACACAGGGGCCTCATGATCCCCTATTGCCCGGGGGCACCAAGAGTTGTCAGTCCTCCCCTGGTCTTGTTTGACAAGGGAGTCTAGCTCTCAAGACTGTCCAAACCGAAGCAAAAATACTTTTTCAAGTAAAAAAGTTTACATACAGTTTATGTATTTGTGTGTTTAGCAGTTTGCAAGGAGTTTAGCTTAACAAAAAATTGAATACACACCTTTTCCTTTCTTGCCCTTAGAAGGAACAGTTCTCTTCCTCTGGGAAGGCTGTGGGGATAAGTGCTCTCTCCACCGTCTCAGCTGGAAATTAATGAACTTCCACATCATAAATGCCTGAGTTATGCAAATAGATGCCAGCACGCTGATTCTGAAATATAATGAGGAAGTTAATTATAGATCATATGCTCTAGGAGTTCATTTAATCAGGTAACAGTCTTCCACTTTCTGAAATCAAATATGCACGGGTCTATGCTTTTCCAATCTTCTTTTGGTGATTTGTACTGAGGCAATGGTAGTTACTTCAGAACTTTTAAATGTAATGATGGCTGTACAAACATATGGACAAAAATGAATCCAGCAAGACAAGGCTGTGCAACATGAGTGATTTGTAGCAGTTACAAATCTACCTACATAGTGATATGGTTTGGAAAACAAATTTGCAGTAAGTGAAGGGTGTGCGATGCAGCAACTATAGCAATCTGTAGCTGGCTGTAGGATCATAGTTATACATCTTATTTCATACAGCTGTTCATAAATGCTTCCCACCAGCAATGGATAAGTGCATAGATTAGGAAATGTGTAGCTTGATACAAATTGTTGCTGAAAATAGATTATAGCTGTAAAAATCTCAGAAGCCTTGTTTATTCTCCTACATTGGTAAACATGCTTGTGTCCTGAAGTTTTGCTCTCACGTCCATGCAGCTATCATAGCAGCTTTCAGAAGAAGCAATATTCAGCAGGGAGCATATTTAAAGTGGAATGGAGATTTAAAAAAAAAAAAAAAGGAAAGCTATGCAATAGAACAAAATGTGAATTTATCCTGAAAAATTTACTTTTGTCTGGAATTTCTTCTGAATAATAGCAGTGAGCTTCCTGGCATGTGAAGGCACATGGGTACTCTTGTGCCTACACCTTCAAAGCTTTAGATCTGCAAGAGCCAAGGCACTGCTGCCTCTGACTGCTTATCCCAGGAGATTTGGAGCGAGTCTTGGCAATGTCACCACTGTATTGCTCACCACTCTCTTTGCTGGAGGTTTTGACATGAGGAAGCAAACCCCCTCCCCCCCAAGATACCCCCCTCCATACACAGACAGTACAAAACAAGATATGGTAAGCTAGTAAATGGGAAACACCAGCTGCAGGGAGGCCACGGGGTGACTAGTCCTTTGCTCTCTACTGTATTTCGTGAGAATTTTCACTTTAAATGCATTAAATACATTAACTCCATTAGGACAACAACAAAATAGTATAGTCTGTTTTAGTTGTTTCCTGTTCTAATTGAAAGACAAAGCTACTTTATTTCAATGGCTTATCCTACTTTGCAGACATTATAAACATGCTAAGATCAGATTGGTTTGCTCAAATCACCTTGAGGGAAAGGTACACTGGGAAAAATATGGAGTGGCAGCCTCATTATTTCTCATAGTACAGGTTTCCTTTAATGCTTTAATCCCTGGGACACTCCAGGCATGTAGCAGCTAATACAAAATACCTGCATCCAGCACTCCCTGGCGTGTCGGATACTGAAGATTTTGTTGATGTATGTAGATCCGTAAGAGAGCAAAAACGAAGCATGGGTATCAGGAAAGGATTAATCCTAATCTTGTTTTTTTTAAGGCTGCTTTTTTGCCTTTGCACATCAAAAAAAAAAAAAACTAAACTGAACTGCTGTGGTCAGGCTGTGGACATTGAAATATTTACATATTCCCAACAAGTAATAAATGAACTTTAACCTCCCTAGCGGTCTGATTATGTCCATATTTTTGTGCTCAAAGCGGTACATTTTTTTGCATGGAAATATGTATTTTTTTTTATTGTAGGCCTGTGATTTTTAGGAATAACTCACTGAAATCTGTCCGAACAAGAGTCTAGTAAACATGTTAAAATTTGAAACATGAAATCAAATTATAATTTAATAATCATAAAAAATAATAATATAATAATAATCAATTTAATTCAATAATATAATAAAACCAAAAACACGGAAATTTGAAATATAGTGCCAAGTTCGCACATCACTGAGCAAAGTTTCATTGTCTGATGACGAATTTCCCCACGAATCATTGTCACTCAATTCTGCAAGTGGTTCTCATTTACTATCGCTGTTCTCTAGCTGGTCTAAAACCGATTTTGAACTAAAGGGACGCTTTTTGGACACCATGGATGTTTCCAGGCAGAAAGAACAGTAAAAATGTAGGCAGGGCACAGGACAAAGCACTCGGGACAAAATGTATATGAAATGGTTTGATACAGTAATGTTTTACTATGTGATTTTAGTTAATGTCACTTTTTGTGATTTTCAAATTTCCCGCCGTTCCGTCCCCGTAAGTCCCGATGTCGCAGGGGACGGAACCCAGAAGACAGATGCCGGCATCCGCTGGAGGACATTACAGGGGACACTGCAGGAGGGATATCGCGGGAATGCGGGACAAGGTAAGAAAAGAACAGATCCCGGAGCAGCGCCGCATGGTAAGCCCGAGTGTAGTTTGGGGTTACCGCTTGTGGTACTGAAACTTTACCCCGAGCTACACTCGGGAATACCACCAGGGAGGTTAAACATGCTCTCACTGACTTCTGTAGATGCAGTGAAGTAGGCCAAGTCAGCTCAGGTCTCAGCACTTGATTTTCACCTTTCCAGTGCTCCTGCTCAGTTTTACATTTGAGATTAGGAGATTGGAAGGCTGAAGTCACTGCTGGAAGTGGGGAGCAAAGCAGAGTTGCTTAATTTAAAGTGAAATTGTCCTTGCTGTTAACAATGACAATAATTCCACAGTGCTTGCAGCAACAGAAGGCTGTGAGGGCTTGTTTTAAAGCTTGTTAATAATATATAAATGTTTGAATATCTAAAGCATGCCCACCATTGTGCTTAAAGTTCACCTTCCGCAAAGGTTACATCTCTACCTGTAAATGTCAACAGTAGCTTTTTTTTTTCACACATTTTTCCAAAGCTTCTGGCATCCTCCAGTTCAGCAAACAATGTCCCTTTACCAGCAAAGCTATGCCTATTAAAAGGGAACTGTGTACAATACACAGTACACAAAAGTGGCAGCAAAAACACACAATGAACACAAACATAGGGGTTCTACCTGATTGCTAGAATATTGAAATTTCCATTACTGATGTCCAAAACCTGGTTCTCTGCTCGAGCGAGTCCAAATCCAACAGTAAGAACAGATAGTATGAGGGTAAGGAGACGCCCCAGGACAAACAGAATAGCCCACAATGTAAACCTGGCAACAGAAAATCAGAGTTAAAGAACCACACATTTCCTGATGAAGTAGATAAACCAAAACATGATCAGGAAAGACTAAAAATAAACAAAAACAAAAAAAAAAAAAAAAACACATAAAACACAACAGTGGACAATTAATTATAACTATTTTACTGGAATCAGGTATATCAACTGATAGCTGAAGCAGAAGTTATCTTCCAAGTATTTATAGACTGGCTAGATGGCTCCATGGTTTTGTCTAGCCCTGGTTAGCTGAACTAGGATGGGAAAACAAGGATAAAGAAACACAGGGATGTGCAATTCCTATAGCCCAATGCCCAGGACATGCAGTTCCTGGGAGCTGGGCAAGAGGTTTTTTTTCTTTATATTTAGCCCTGCTGTGGGCAAGCAGCAGGAATTAGAGCCGACAGTCGGCTCTCTTGTAAAAGAGATTAGAGCAGCAAACTAGCCACTGGATCATTTTTACAAGAAGTGCAGGGGACATCACCCCTTCCAAGGGCTGTTGCGTCGCACCAGGACACCCAATCAACCATCTGGCGCTACTGCCGGCTGATCATAAAGGCAGACAAAGTCAGGAACCACTCTGTCTGCCTCTACAGTATTAGAAACAGAAAGCGATGAGCATACATCACTTCCAATTTCCCTGGATGTAAATGGCGCCCTTTTTAAAAATGAAGAGCGTTTGATCACACCGATCTTGTCTAGGTCTTATAGACCGAGATCTCTCGATAAAGAGCACCTGTCACTGCCTATTGCTGTCACAAGGGATGTTTACATACAAAAATTAAAGAGACAGTGTTAAAATAATAAATAATTAAAAAAATATTTTTTTTAAAGCATCCCTGTCCCTGCACACAAAGGCAAATGCATGCATCAGTCCTGCAATCAGCCCATGTGATGCATCGAGAATGTCAGATCACGGGCAGTAATTCTAGCACCAGACCTCCTCTGTAAATCTAAGGTGGTAACCTGTAAAGGCTTTTAAAGCGTTGTCTATGGATAGTAAAATTTATGTTGTTTGTTGCCGCTGCACGGGCATGCGCAATTTTAAAGTGTGACATGTTTGTTCTCTATTTATTCAGTGTAACACCATCTTTTATATTTTACTAAAAATAGGCTTTAGTATTGTGTTTTTTGCATTAAAATTAAAAAAAGGTGTATTTGTTCCAAAGCAAATAGCGTTTGAAAAACTTCTACGCAAATATCGTGTTATATAAAAAAATTGCAAAACCCACCAATTTATTCTCAAGGTACTCTGCTTAAAAAAAAACATATATAATGTTTGGGGGGTTCTAGGACAATGTAGATTGTCATGAGGGACAAGTAGATTGGAACCCCCATTTAGTCCTTGGACATGTAGTTTTAAAAAAAAAAATTTCCACACCCCTTAAAACACACTACGTTTCACACAAACTTTAAGAAGAAAGTGAACCTAACTCGTATTAAAATTGGAGCAAGGAAAAAAACAGTGCCTGCTACTAATTATGTTACACTGCAGTTCAATGATTTTGTATTACCAGGTACCTGGTGTTAGTCTTGGAAATGATCCCAAAGTACCTTTGTCACTCTTTAAATCCTAGAACTAGGCAGTACAAAGAGATAACCTCTCTCCAGCTTTATCTCTGGTGGTCAAATGTTATAGCCTCTAATATCTACTAAGGTTCTGGCATTTGACAGATGAATGACAGGATTAAGACTTTGATCCAGAAGGATGCAGGGTTTGTATGCTGTGAGAGAAGCACTTGTATACATGTGAAAGAATATGCTCATATGTGTGCTGAGAATTCAAGTATAGCCAATGTGGCTGGAAAAATAAGTTACTTGCGCTACTGGGTATTCTTTATGGAGACTGCTTCTTGAAGTAACAGACTGTGTTGATCGGCAGAAAGAGACTGTGCTGGCAGCCTTGTAAGTACAAATCTATTGAGGAGTTCTACACAATATCCAATTACCTGTTAGAAAAAGAACTTGAACTGTGTAGTAAATGCCAGTGATTTTCCTCTAAAATGTATCTATTTTTAATTTTTGCTTTTTTTGGTGGTGAAAACAATGTTCATGTTTATTTGATGCTGAAAACGCATTAAAGGCCAGTTCACACCAGAACATGTTTCAGGAAACGCATATTCCATGCACATTTCCCACACTGCGTTCAAAACCCACTGGTTGTGCGATCTGCTGCGGGTATCAATATACTCTTAATTGCACCCCAAACGCAGTGCATTTCCCTGCACCACATCACACGGTAGCATGCAACTTGGTGCAGTAGGTTTTTGAAAAGTAGCGCATGCATCACTATTTGTGCAATCCAGTGTGATTTCACCCCATTCAATTAAATGGGCTAAAAATCACACCACACACAGTCCACGTTGCTGTCCATGGTGTGGACCGACCCTAAAACTGATTTTGGACAGTCAAGTTGGAAGTGTAGTGTAGACTCAAACTACCTGTACAAAAAACCCACTGAGTCTCTCTACCCCGGGAGAAAAATAAAATCAGGGCTCCTATCATTACCATGCCAACATTGTTGTTTTTACTTGTGACTGCAATTATGAACTAGTATTGACACCTACCCTTTCTGATATTTTTCATTACTGAAGTAAAAAAGTCGAGAGATGTGAAACAGAAACTCTACGAAGTAATGAAGAACCAGCAGAACAAGGCCAAGGTGGGTTAGGCTGTAAAAACACACAAAAAGAAAATGTATGGATGTTTTTCCAAATAAACACATTTCATAGTGACCATGATAATATCCAACATAAGGTCTAATGTGATACTGATACATGCATTAGAGGCAGGGAGTTAGGGGATCAGCAAGTGTCAGTGTTCAAGTGATACATCACCTCTGTCAGACTTCTAGTTCATCAGGAACCGGATGAAATTTTCTCCATGTATGGCCACCTTAACCATGACTGGTTCTCTTTAGGGTAAGCAATCCTATCAATGTGTGTATTACAAACACTGTTTTTCTAAAGCTAGCCATGCACAGCTCAAATTTTGTCAGATTCCTGCTGAAATCACCAAAATTTAAGCCGTGGGTCACCCTGTTAGCACCACCTAGCTCAACAAGAGTCAATTTAAAAATTGGCTGAGCTGGGTGGAAAAGTTTTTCTCTGAAGAGTGACTGAAACCTCTCAGATGCAGTCACTGTTCGGGTATTCATTCACAAAGTTCTGCGAATGAATGAACTACAATTACCAACATCCTTTGTGGATGTCGACTTGTAGTTCTCAATGAACTACCACAGGCCTGTGGAGTGCCGTGGTAGTTCTTTGATTCTTCCTGTTAGTGTATCTTCTTGCCTGTACGGGATGTACGGGCAAGCAGATATACTGACAGGTCTGCAAGAGACTGGCATGTAATGCTTTACAGGCACCTGTAACAAAAAATAATAAATACACATTTTTTTTACCTGAAAAAGGTGAACTTATTCTTTAATACCTTCTGAAACACTGACTTGGAACACACATGGAGATGGTGAAGTCATTTTCTTGCAAAAACAGTAAATGCACATTTATTTATTTTTAAAGGTGGAGTTTGCTTTTAAAGGTAACCTATAGTGATAATCTGAAGTCTGCTGTTGTAGACCTTCCCTAAAAACGTTAGTTATACAGCTATCATGCAGTTAAAATTGTCTCAGTCTTTTCTGCTGCACTGAACTGCAGCATGAATGGAGATCAGGAGTTTTGATTCATGTATGTGACTTGCTAATCTCTATTCTTGCTGCAGGTCAAGGTCTATATTTGCCACTCTTGATCCTTTCCACTTCTTCCCACTGAAAATCTTGGTACTTCTGCCCCGTATCCCACACACCTTTCAGTGCTCAATACTTGAGTGCCCAATCTGCAGGATTGAGCGTCATGACACAACAGACCACAACAATTGACTTTCAGGGAGAGTGGAGGGTTTTGGTTTAGTATAGGTCCACAAATGGTGAAGGGTGGTCCATCCTGATCTACCTCCTAGTTGGTCACTAACCTGGAATTCAGAGTTTTCAGACTTCAATGGCTGAAAACTTGTTTCAGGTCATTGACATATTTGGCAGTTAAGGGCCCATAGCAAGTTTCCAATATAGCCCCCATATTTGAAAAGTGCCCAATTTTCTTAAAGTGGAAGTAAAGTCCACTTTGTAAGTTGCACCTACAGGTAAGCCTATAATAAGGTATACCTGTGGGTACAGTGAATATCTCCTAAATTTGCACCGCTTAGGAGATATCCCAACAGCATGCAGCCAGTGATGTCACTGATGCATGTGCTCTGAAGTGACGGCACAGCATGCAGGACCTTCAGAGCTCTGTGCCGCAGCCAATGGCTCCAGGCTCACATGCACAGGAGTGACGTCATCGCAGCTCTGGCCATTCATACTGCCAGAACTTGCGAACCCGGAAGCAAGAAAGGGTGAAGAGGGCGTCGCTGGGGAGCTGTGACAGCACGGTGCTGGAGGGCTCTGTGTACAGGTAAGTCAGTCAATGTACTAATATCCCTGTCAGGTAGGGATACCTCACAATGGACAAGGAAATTGTAGTTGGTGGTCAGTAAAGTCAGGCAAATTAGAACTGGTTCCGAAAGGCACACAAAGTAAGGTTTTATGACTTACAAACATAACAGGCATCTTGGTGTGCCTGCTTTTAGAGAGTGCTTTTAAGGTAGCTAATAGTTTAACTTTAGGTGCAGCAAAGAATTAACTGATTTCTCAATACCGCACAGTGTACAGTTACAACTTTCAGCTTCACTTTAGTCAGGATATCTACAGATGAGCAAATTGTAAGACTCATAAGTATACTTACTTTAATACATATGCGCCTATAATATGAAAGAGATATAGTCCAATATACACCAGCTGACGAGGTATATCTTCCTGAAAAATCGGAGAATACACTGTAAGCATCCTAGTCATATTCATGTTTACTTTTTATTTCAAGAATATGTACAGATTCACATATGCCCTGCCTGCTAAGGTCCACACATAGCCTAAATATCACAAAAGAAGCCTGCTAACCCCCCAACTTGTGAAGAGCTTCTCCACCTTCAGCTAGCAAAGTGTTCTGGTGACACTTGGTATAGTTCGCAAGTATAACCAATGTTTTAGAAAAGCTTTAAAAATATGGGGCGTATCAGTTTATCCCCAATGTTTGTGAGTCCAAGGCTTTGCATACATCCAGATAATTTAACATGACTATCCAGACAGCAATATATAGACTATGGCAATATGGCACCATAACTAGCCCATCAAAGAAAGTAGTAATATCCAACACAGCTATGGTGTCGTGCTGCTGCTCCCCAGGGTAGGAGAACTTCCGCTTCCGATCGCCTAGGCCAGTGATCGGCAAGCCGCGGCTCGCGAGCCACATGCGGCTCTTTACACACTCTAATGCGGCTCTTCTGTGTGCCGGGCGCCCGCTCCCCTCCCTCCTCTCGGGCGGCCGCCCCAAAAGTCAGGACTCTGCAGCTAGCCCAGCAATGGGCAAACTACGGCCCCGCGGACCTTTTAATCCGGCCCGTGTTTGCCCGAGCGTGGCAAACATTGGCTGTCAGGATATAGGCGGGGCAGCGTGACGAACTCCTCTCCTCTCACAGTCTGCCCTGAAGACCGGAACGGCGCGGGAACACGGCGAGAGGAACGCGCGGAGCAAAGGTAAGTGAATTAACACAATATGGGGAATGAATTACTATAGGGGGGATGAATTACTATAGGGGGGGTGAATTACTATAGGGGGGGGTGAATTACTATATGGGGGGGGATGAATTACTATATGGGAGATTAATTACTATATGGGGGATGAATTACTATATGGGGGATGAATTACTATATGGGAGATGAATTACTATATGGGAGATGAATTACTATATGGGGGATGTATTTTCAGTTTTAAAAATGTGGCTCTCAAAATAAATTTCAATCGTGGTTTTGGCGAGATTTGGCTCAGTTGAAAAAAAAGGTTGCCCACCACTGGCCTAGGCGACAAATCCTTAAAGCAGAACTTCCCTTTTTGGGTGGAGCTCTGCTTTCAACACAAAGGGATAACAAATGTGGAAAGCTCAATGAATGTGGATTGGTTGGAAAATGCTCCTTTATGTGTAATCTAAACTGTTTTGAAAAGTACATAGAATACAAAGTGCATAAAATATGTTAAAAGGGATCAGAGTAACATTATTTTACACAAATTTGAAAGACAGAAAGATACAATGTTTATATTCGCATTGCGTAGTCATAAAGGCACACCGACAGCTAATTCTTGTGTTTCACTATGTGAATCCATTCTATTGACTCCTAATGATTCCTATTCAATCAATCATTAATTTCTCAGTGTGGTATGCTGAGCCTCTCACAGAAGTTGGTATAAAATAAATAGAAAGATCATTTAAGCCAATGGCAATCTACTGTTCTCAGTGTCCAAAAATAAATAAAAATTGCAGAGTGCTTGCAATTCCTCAGCCCTTTTCCTTAGATTGCCAGAAATTGGATCTATATGATACAGATTTTTACAAGTTACTACACAAGTATGAAAGAGATTATAAAGTATTTGTTTCACCTTCCTCCTGGCTAGCTTCTAACTCTTAGGGATACGGGAAACATTCTATTTACCTTCTTTGTTTTCTGGAAATAAAGTTCAGGGAAGGCATGGAACCAGTAGGCCAGCTGTGAAATATAGAAAAACTTCATCTGAAATCTGCAAATAAAAACCATTAAAAAGATATTTAATTTCAATTCTCAATATATATGTTAGAGTGACAGGACAACAAAGAAGACTATTGTGCACTATACTTTAATGCAACCTATTGCCATTCTGCAGAGGAAGAAGGTCAGCTAGAATCTGATAGTTCTCTTCACTCCACTTTTAGGTATAAGAAAGGTTATACAAGATCAGCCAAGGTTGAGGCGACAGCAGTTTGAGCTTTGCTTTTACTCCTACGTACAAAGGCTAATTTACAAATGGAATATGTATAGAAAATGTATCCCAAATGCCTGTGTACATTAGACACCTGTACCAGTCATATGCAAGAGAGCTAGTATACCATGGCCACCCACTTAAGCAGTTCTATTCTGAGAAATATGTTACATGTGAACAATGGCTCTGGAAGACCATATAAAAATATAACAGACAATCAAGACCACAAAAGCAGCATTCTATTAAGTTTTAGTAACACTCTTTCATAAAATGTTCCCAATATTAAAGGTATTTAAAAAGCCAAAACACCATAAAAAGTTACACTTATTTTGTGGTAGGACCTGCTAATCTAAGTTATCAGTTTATCTCTAAGAAAAAAAACAAAAAAAAAAACCTGTCACTTTAAGATTACTGAAAGCTGCTGACAGGTATGCCAGAGTAGTTTGCAAAAAACACACTAAAAATTTCAGTATCATCTGCTTTGCCAAAACTGGTCTGATCAGGCAAAGCTTCTTTTCTGGATAGATGCTTGTTTGCATAAGTTTATCTGCCTACTCCAGCTCTCTTCACATTCCCAATGGCCAGTGAGGGATACCATTATGGTGATGGGCCAATAGGGTCACTCAGAAGTCTGAGCATTGCCAAACTAAACCAATTCAGCATTTAAATGAAGCTGCAAACACATAACGCTGCCTTCAGGTGCCTATATATCATACTTATCAACAGGTTTAGCCCCTAATGGTGATTTATTAGGGGTTAATATGATCTGGAGATATACCACTGATCCTAGACAATAACAAGCGTTTCTCTTTCATGGCTTGATTCCTGGGATTTCCCATTTACTCTACATCGCAAAGAATCAAAGGAAAGTTTAAAAGAGGAGTAGCTGTGTCTGATCAATCTCCAGCCTGGTGCTCCAGTGAGTACTGAGTACTGGAGGGGCAGAGTGGAGACTCAGAGAAGACAGAGAGTTCAGTGAAGTTCAGTTTTTTTGGTTTTTTTTAGTCCCCCCCCATACCCCATACCCCATACATCTCAAAAACCATTGTTTTACTGTTTAAATGTCACCGTAGTGAGGCGAGCGGAACCTTCTGATGGGATTTCTCAGCACTGTGGCCCCAGAAAGAGAAGGGAAAAGAAAACCACAAATAACTTAGATTCTAAAGCCTGTTACACACTATTAGAATTTTGCTTGATATTTTTAGTTTTAGGTACATTTAATTTTCCAATCATTAGTAGATTCAAAAAGACATTCATCTTCCACAGCAGTGACAAGAAAACTGAAAGCAGCAGCATGGAACATTTTTCTTGAACAAACGTCTAACAGTGTATGTGGTTTTCACTTGGTAAAGTTCAAAATTGAATGTTAAAAGCAAACAAAATTTTAAAATTACTTTTGTTCAACATTCATCAAGCCGTCGAAATGTACTTAGAATTTTCGTACAAATTTTGGTTCAAAAATCTACTAATGCCAGTCTGAAGGATAAGTTCACCCTAAATAAAAAGTGCATTTACATTTTTTTGTTTTCTTATGAGCCTGGAAAGCATTGCAACTGCAATCAGCAGATCACAGGTGCAATGTCAGGCTCCTGCAGTCTGACAGTGTAGTTATCTGTCTGTTCCTTGTACAGGCAGGCAGAATCAATGAATTACAAGGATGCTCACCAGGGAGCAAAGGATGTCGGTACTTGTAGTCTACTCATTCACAGAACTCTGTGAATGAATGACGCAAACGTGTGGGCAGAGCCCCGCATAGCAGCGCACTTTTCAAATTGTGACAATTGTGAAATTGGGTGCGGGGAGAAGATATCCGGTCTGCTGTCACGGGAGGGATGGAGGATCTGGGGGAGAGGAGCAGGAGTGGGAACATGTTAAACTAAAAAAAGGGTGGAACATGTAACATGTTCCCAAAGGTGAAATGATCCTTTAAAGTGTTACTAAACCCACAAAAGTAAAATCAGTCTGTACCTGCAGTAAAGCATGTTTGTTATACTCATTGTGGAACTTAAGCGGTTAATCCTCGGCATTGTATAAAAATGCGGTTTGATCCTGACTTCTCTGATCCTCCCCTTCTACCACTCGGCACATGCTCAGTTTGGTGTGTACTGCTAGAGAGGTTTTTGTTTTTTTCTTGGGAGAGCGCATGTGATCAGCACAGGGTCAATCAGCACTGTCCAAACAGAGGTCAGGGGTTCTGCATCCTCCTAGAGCAGAATGAAAACTCCAACTACATGCTTTAACACGCGCTTGGCTGGACACTGATAAAAGTCACAAGAATGCTCTAACTACTGATGAGAAAAGGCAAGTTAGTGAGAATAAACAAAATAAAAAAACAATATGGTTCACGTAGGGTAGTAAAAAGGGAAAAAAAAATCATCATATAGGAGATTAAAGGAAACAGGAGGTGTAGCTGACAGAGAAGGGTATAATAGACAAAAGAAGGCCAACACATAATCAATGCTGCGAAAGCACAGAAAGAGGAGGAAATTGCTAAATCTAATCAGAAAAGGAGATAAAACCTTTTTTAGGTACATTAGTGGTAGAAAGAAAAAATACAATGGGATCACTAAAATGAAAACTGGGAACACTTATGTTGAGAGAGACCTGGATGAAGCAAACCACTTAAACAATTACTTTTGTTCAGTCTTTTCAGAAATAAATTGTACTAACAATAATAAGTTGGGAAATCATATTGGTTCTAGTAATGATGGTTCGTTTTTAGGATTTCCAGAGACAGAGGTAGCAAAGAACCGGCTTGGGTAAAGATTAATAAAGCAATGGGCATTGATGGTATTCATCCTAGAGTTCTAAGAGAACTTCGAGGTACATTGTTGGACCATTAACTGATCTTTTTAATCAACCTCTTCTAACAGGAGAAATTCCCCATCACTGGCGGACAGCTAATATTGTACCTATCCACAAGAAGGGCAGCAAGGTAGAAGCTGGAAATTACAGACCAATGAGTTTACATCGGTTGTAGACAAGTTAATGGAATCACTCCTGAAAAGAAGGATCATTGATCACTTAAAAACACACAACTTGCTGGATCCAAAGCAGCATGGCTTTACTGAAGGCAGATCATGTCAGACTAATCTGATTGGATTTTTTCACTATATTACCAATGTTTTGGACCAGGGTGGTGCTGTGGACATAGCATATCTTGATTTCAGCAAGGCATTTGATACAGTTCCACATAATGATCTAATACAAACGTTGTACAACCTAGGACTTAGCCCTTGGGTGGTTCAGTGGATATGCAGCTGGGTAAAGGATAGATGCCTGAGTGTGGTTGTAAATGGGGTTCACTTGGAACAGAGAATCATTAGTGGTGTACCCCAAAGCTCTCTACTAGGTCCTGTCCTATTTAATTTACATGCAAGTGATAAAAGTAAAGGTTTGTGGGGTATGGTATGTCTTTTTGCTGATGACGCAAAGGTGTGTAATAGCGTTGATATCCCTGGAGGGGTCTGTAACATGGAACGTGATTTGGCATTGTTGGAACATTGATCAAAAAAGTGGAAATTGTAGTTCAATGTTTCTAAATGTAAAATAATGCACCTAGGAAAAAAGAATCCCTAGAGAGAGAGTACAACTTCAGAGGAAAAAAAGGATTTGGGGGTACTTATTTCAGATGATTGCAAAATGAGCAAACAGTGTGGCCAGGCAGTGGGGAAAGTGAATAGAATTCTAGGATGCATCACTAGAGGGATCACCAGCAGGAGGAAGAAGGTTCTGATTCCCCTATATAGATCTTTAGTTAGTCCTCATTTAGAATACTGTGTTCAGTTCTGGAGACATCACTTACAATAATTTATTGATAAAATAGAATGAATCCAGAGACGGATAACAAAAATGGTGAAATGTCTGGGAGATAAAACATACTGTATCAAGAGCGACTTCAGGAACTTAACATGTACAGTCTTGAGGAAAGAAGGGAAAGGGGAGACGTGACTGAAACCTTTAAATACATCAAATGGAAGAATAAGGTTCAGGAGGGCAGTATTTTCAACAGGAAACCATAATCAAGAACACGGGGACATGAACTTAAACTACCCAAAGGAAAGTTCAAAACTAATCTCAGAAAGTACTATTTTACTGAAAGAGTAGTTGATGCTTGGAATAAACTTCCAGCAGAGGTAGTGAGCCAGTCAACAGTAATTGGCTTCAAACATGCTTGGGACAAATCTATACTCACAACAAAAAACAGGCAGACTCGATTGACCACTCGGCCTTTTTCTGCCGTCACTTATCTGTGTTTCTATTTAGCAGTTTATATTTACTATAGTAATTGGACTTCCATGTTCTGTGTACTGTGGAAGACCAGATATAGTGAAGGCAGGGTCCTGGGTTTACTAACACTTTAAGATTTAGACAGAGTAAGTTTTTAATTAAATAGAGAAACAAATATGTACATTAAAAGTTAACAAGTAGAAAACCTGTGCTGAGAGAACATGAAGGCTGTCACGGCTGATGTTACTTTTTAAAAATACAAGTTGCCTGGCGTTTCTTCTGATCTAACTAAAAAATTGGTACAACGTCCCTAAACTGTGCAAATCAGAAATTCTGACTTAACGGACTGCACTCATGCTCTGGGTCAATGGCTCAAAAAATTTAAGCCAGAAAAAGCCAGGTTAACATTTTCCAAAGAATGTAAGCAACATCAGCAGAAAGGACAGATGTACTAAAAAGAATCCATCACAAAATAACCATCTTAGAAATCTCAGCAGCCATTAAGGACAGCATACTGATCCCAGGACTGTGACTTCGCTCAGTGAAATTGTCCTGGAATGGGGCAAGCAACACGAGTAAGACGATGGTAACTTCCATCTGTGTTTTGTTTGCCACACCCACAGAGGTAAGATTAGCATCATCTGATCTGACCATGTTTAACCTATTGTCTGGATTATCCACAGCACTAGCCATGGTCAAGAAAAACAAGTTTCCAATCCATATAGTTTCTCCTGATTAGGTCAGACTGGACCCCTTCTTTCTATATTTTTATATAAACTTGTAAGGTAGCCACATTGTCCCTACACTAATGACCTCCCTCTTAGTTGCAGGATTACTGCAATCACTTTTTTGGGCTTAGGGAAAGTTAAAAGGCTAAGTTCACCTTTAAGGAAAAGCAATAAATGCACATATTTTTGGAGGAAAAAAAAAAATGTGTATATATTATTTTTTCCTCCAGCAGCCTGCAAAAGCATTGCACCCACAATCAGTGGATCCTGAGCATAATATCGGCTCCTGCACACACTTCCTCCAGCCTCCTGCCTGTACAGATTTTCTGACAGAAAGTTGGCAAAAGTTTAAATGGACTTTGAGTGTGCTGATTTACTGCACTTGTATTCCACTGATAACTGTAAGTCCACTTGCCGTGGTGGCAGAGAGGACTTGTAGTTTATTCATCCACAGATCCCTGTGAATGAATGACCTGGCTGGGTGGGTGCAGTCCCACGCAGCCGAGCAGATTTTAAATGTGACAGCGGCTGAGGGGGGAGAAGAACCCTCACACACTGTCACAGAACAAGATGGGGTAGCCCCAAGGGGTGCTTAGGAACATGTTACTCTAAATACGGGTGTAACGTCTAATATGTTCCTGCAGTTGAACGTAGACTTTGAGGGTTTATTTAAGGGAAATTTAAATGTGATAACGCAACCTTTACCAAAATGCTAAGCAATACAACAGGAACGAAGATCCTGCACTGCTTAACCACTTCCAGTCCGGACACTTTTACCCCCTTCCTGCCCAGGCTAATTTTCAGCTTTCAGCACTGTTGCACTTTGAATGACATTTACGCGGTCATGCAACACTGTACCCATAAGATTTTTTAAATAATTTTTTTGAGACAGATAGAGCTTTCTTTTGGTGGTATTTAATCACCATTGGGTTTTTTATTTTTTGATAAACCAAAAACAACTGAAAATTTTGAAAAAAAAAGTTTTTTTCTTAGTTTCTGTTTTAAAATTTTGTAAATGAGTAATTTTTCTCCTTCACTGATGTGCGCTAATGAGGCTGGTGATGGGCACTGATAGACTGCACTGATGAGGAGGCACTGGTAGGTGGCACTTATGGGCACTGAAAGGCCATACTCATATATAAGCGGCACTAAAAGGCAGCTCAGATTGTCACTGATATGTGGCATTGATGTGCACTGGTAGGCACTGATGTGGCATTGATGGGCACTGACAGGTGGCATTGATAAGGCTAAACTGATCATCAGGGCACTGATCATCAGTGCAGATGTCCCCTCTGAGGAATGCCGATTACCGGCTCTCCTCTTCTCAAGAGCTGTCAGCATGACAGCTCGTGAGGAGAGAAATGCCGAACCCCGGTATTTCCTTATTTACATGCAATCAGCTGTGATTGGACACAGCTGATCACATGACAGAGCCGAAGTCATCGGCTCTTTCTGCTGATTGGTGATCCGCTGTGTCTCAGGGACACAACGCACCACTGATCGCCACATTGCGCGCCCCCAGGGGCGGGGGGCACGCACACGCGGTTAGAGTGGCAGGACGTCATATGACGTCCTCCCAGAACGAGAGAACCGCCTTGCGCCCGTCATTATCTTATATGGTGGGCAGCAGGCAGTTAAAGACTACAAACAAAAGACCTCTTAAAAACACAAAGAGGCCAGAATCCACTGGACTGAGAATCCATTTAGTGCTTCAAACAATTGTGACCTTAAACCACATAAAAAGACAAACCAATTACTTACGGGAAGTAGATGTGGGGGTAACCTTTCCATAAACTTGTTGGATCTGCGAAATAATTCTCCTAAACAGATAACAATTGGCTTTATAAACACAACTATAAAAGAAATATTACCAATAACAGCACAGTTACATTTTGACTGAGAATCACAAAACCCTTTTTGCAGTAAATTAGGCTGCATTCTTTTTTCATTAAAGCAGTATCCAAACATTCTAATTAGTGGTTGTGCAGGTAGCTATTTTGCTGAAAATAACATTACTGTTCAGAAATGGTCTCTATGGCAACTAATGCCACAAACACTGCACGCTCTTCAGTTTAGCAGAATGACAGGGAGTTAGATCTATTCTTTCTTAAGAGGCCATCACAGCACTGTTTTGCCCATATAATTCGATGATTAATGGCACACTGCTAAGAAAACAGTCCGGAATATACTAGAGACATATCTGAAAGCTTTGCCAAATAGAATTTTTTTTCCTTTTCATTTATTTTAACAATATTATATGCAAAGTGCAGAAGAACCTTGCAGACGCTACACATTACACATGTGTATCCTAGATTCTTCCAGTTTTTAATGGGTACCACTGAGCTGAGGCTTCTGCTATTTTTCAGATAGTCAATGCAAGACCTCCCTGCAAGTAGGATGCATCTTACACATAAAGCCATAATAAAAACATCAAACTGGCAAATGGAATTGTAAATGATTTATTTCTCACTATGCAGAATTTACCAGGAATGGTACACAACATCATTTGCACAGAAAAAGAAATTTGGGGAGTGGGGTCATCACCACTGGAGATCCCACTGATAAAATGCCTGCACATTACTCAACTTGCCAGCAACTACACAATGCTGTAATATCTGCTTTGAGTGAAAGTGTCCTTCAGGCTAAATACACACTGGCTTAAAAATCGCTGCTTCTATAGGAGTTTTGCCTTTAGAAGCAGCTCAATGTTATCCTATGTGCCCGTGCACATTAGGACGATTAGAGGCATATTTTAAGTTTAACATTTAGAGGTTGGAAGAAAACCCCTTCTGGTTTGTGTTTTTGATTGGAGTTTTCTAGCAAAAAAACCACTAAACTCTCCTAATTCGCTTAAACTGTGTACAAAAACGCTACATATCAGCAGTTTTTTTCTGCCAAGGGAACTGCCTTTTTTTTTTAAACCAGTGTGCATAGAGCCAATGGCTGCAAGCACTAATCAGTCTGTTCTGACAGAACACAATAGCTCAGCAGGGGAGATCGCAGCACTAACACCGCTTAGTCAGTATGGCGACCTCTCAGTTTTTGTTTGTTCAACTCACTGGTTTCAATTAAAAAAAACTTTACGTATGGATCCAGAATAACTATAAGTTTTACATAGAGATCTAACTAGTACATTGCTTGGAAGTAGAACTAAATGAGATTTTTTTTTTTTTTCCCCAGTTTTGGAAAGAGTGTAGATGAATTAGAATATCCATCACATTTTTATCGCTATCAGTCCCCCTGTTAGGGGTGTTAGTCTTCTTTATTAGTTCTGCTTACCATTAGTACTGAAAGTAAAAAAACGAATCCCAAAATGTTGTGTTGTTTCCAGAGCAGGAATAATGGGGAAAGCTTCCAATAGGGACATTCTGGTGACAACCAGAGATTTCCTCACTTTAGAGGGATTTTCTCTCACTGCCTGCTCTGGCTATGAGACAGGATGTGAAGGGAAATCTCCCCAATTGGACACCTTACATGGGTTATAACCCTTCCTACAAAAATGTTTTCCCTTCAGTTCTATTTCAAAAACAGAGCCTAAGAATGTATTTATTTTTAAACTGAAAGTTATTCAAGTGTAATGTAAAAATCAAACAAAAGGACAGGCCTGAGTTTACTTACTGAGACAATGATGCTCGTCCCCCATACGCAAGAGAAAAAGTAGAATGCACTCAGCTGCCCAGACTCATTGAACTTGCTGTGTTTTGTCTTGGAGAAGTGCATGCGCCTGTTAATTTTCTGAAAGAAGACAGCTTGATTAGATAAACTAAATTAACATCTCATTGAGTAATGTAAATTCAGAATGGTATGTGAGATGTCAAGAATAAATCAGTGAGAACTGTAAAAAAAAAAAAAAAAAAAAAAAAAAAAAAAAAATTGTTTTCAAAAAGTTGATGGCAGGTGATTAGTGACACCAAGGTTGAAAATATATGGCAAGAATGGCAAAAAAGGGGCCATGTTCACATCTGTGCATGTTAGATTATCAGTGCATTCTGTTTTAGATGTGGTTTATGTGCTTTACCACTGAACTCTAACACATTTGGTGAAAAATGCTTAGACACTGCTAGCATGCCTTTTTTCAAAGCACTTAATCCACAACGCACCCAAAACATGCAGATGTAAAAAGAGCTGTAATCTTGTGGTGCTTTCACAATCTAAGCACTCTCCTCCCTGAACTCCTAACCTAGCTGGTAAAGACAAGCTTTACAATTCAAAAGGTGTTTGTTTTCCAGACATTTTGCCCTAGTGCTGCTTCACTTAAGCCATGACTTCCAGCCCTAAAGTATATCACGCCGATAGATCAGCCATGGAACCACAGGGTTCCTCCAAAGGTTGCTAGGGGTTCTTCGAGTTGTGGCTGATTGACCTCCAATCTGATGCTGCTGCACAGTTTTATTCCAATGGCAGTTGGCAGTGCCAGCAGCATGACACCAATGATATTTTAGCTGTCTGCAAGGGTGGAAATCTGATCACCACTGTAAGAAGGGAGAGGGGGAAGGTTGTCAGCATTCTTTTCACTGACCAACAATGTAAACAGCATTTTTCCAATGACCTCCAATTAATTTATTTTGGCACAGGTTCCAGGAGACCAGGAAATTATTTTAAGGGTTCCTTTGGGGTAAAAGGTTTGAGAAAGGCAGATAGCTAATCCTATCAACATGGATAAAAACTGAGGAAGCTCCTATTGCATCATGTGAGAAGAGTTTTTTTTTTCTTAAGTACAAACCAGTTATGACGTGCTGTGGAGCAATGGGGGGCACACACTGAACCTGACGTGTTTGACAGGAAAACCCCATAAGCAAGAAGTATATTTTAGCATGACGACTTATTGCTTTTTCATAAGCATATTGCACATTTGGACTTTAAGTGTCATTAACCACTTCCTGTCCGGCCCATGTATATAAACGGCTGAACGCTGGCAGTGCAGGGTCGGGTGGCTGTTTATAAACGGCCTCCCCGCCCCCTGCTTGTGCGCGCTCCCTGGAAGCGTGCAGCACCGCGATCTGGTGCTCGCTGTGTCCTCTGGACACAGTGGAACACCGATCATCGGACGGGACCTCTGTGCGAGGTCCCAATCATGTGATCACTGATTGGCCAATCAGTGATCACATGCAGAGTAGTAAGCAAGATGTCACTTCTGAGATCATTGCTACGTGTGAAATCTGTGAATGACCACAGAGGTCACATGGTACAAGGCTATTCACAACAGCCTTGTACCATGTGACAAGCTGTGACCAATCACAGCTCACACTGTAGTTCTCAATGGCTGAGAAGGAGAAATGATTGCTTTTACAGCTTTTATGAGTGTTAAAGCAATCAGTGTAAAAAAAAAAAAAAAAAAATCATAATCACCCCCGACAAGTAGTACAGTGTCGCTGCTAGGGTCACAGTATGTAAAAAAAAAAAAAAAAAAAAAAATGTAAAAAATTATAATTTTTGGTTATAAACTAATTTGGGTTTTTTTTTTTTTACTAAAATGATAACGGAATAAATGTTGGCCAAGATTTATGATGAAATATTATTTATTTGCAAAATTTTATAAGAAAAACACTTTTTTTTTCAAAATTTTTGGACTTTTTCATTTACATAGCAAAAAAATAAAAATCCCAGTGGTGAATGAATACCACCAAAATAAAGCTTTATCTGTCTCAAAAAAATGCTAAAAAATTCATATGGGTACAGTGTTGCATGACCTTGCAATTGTCATTCAAAGTGTGACAGCACTGAAAGCTGAAAATTGGCCTGGACAGGAAGGGGGTAAAAGTGTCCGAACTGGAAGTGGTTAAACCAAAAACTTTTTTCTTGAAATTTATATTTATTAATGTTGCCCTTTATCTATATCGGGGGTTGGCAAGCTGCCAATCGTGATTGACCAATTCACTGCTGGCAGCTGAAGGGTCAAATCAGAAACACAGCTCTGCACACATGCCTTCCCACAGCCTCCACTGCTCTCTTCTGCACAGCGAAGAACAGGAGGAGTCACAGTACTGGATAGCGGGTGGGGCCAGGAACTGCTGGAATAAATCTTTCATATTAACCAGCAGCTGATTGGTTACTGGGTGGTCCTAGCAACCAATCACAAGCTTGTTATTATAAAAAGTTAAAGGATAAGTTCATCTTTCATAAAATGTCACACCCATATTCAGGATGTAACATGTTAGGAACCAGCCCCCTTTAACATGATGTAACATGGGGGAAGGGGTGGGGTGTGCTATCTTCTCCCCTTGCTATTAAAAAAAAAAAAAAAAAAAAAAAACCAACCGTGCGGGGCTCTTCCCATCCAGCCACGTCACTCATTTACTGTGTTCTGTGAATGAGAAGCCTTAGCGGCTGTATGCTTGTATCTCTCAATGATCTATCATGGTGCTGTGGAGCGCTGTGGTAGTTCATTGAGTCAGTATATCTGCTTGCCTGTACATCCCGTATGGGCAAGCAATGACACTAGTGGGGAAGCACAAGGAATTATATGCAGTGTTTTTGGTTCAGGCTTGATAGTTTTGTTTTATTTGTTTTTAAAGCCCCCTCTTGTCCTGGGGATCTTTGATTTCATCCATGTTGTCCAGGTAGATCTCAACCTCTTGCCTATCCCTGATCTATATTGTCCACCTTTTCTTTTCTGATCCTACAGTATGTGTTAGATTAAATACCTGGTTGATCCTGCCATTTCCCCTCTCCTCCCTCTCCTCAGTGTCAGTCAAATAACAACCGATTCTGTGGCTGCTGCGTTGGCACACACTGCGCATGCTCCAGGGAATTTATCTCCCAGGTTTACTGGTCTCACGTTTCATACAAACAGCTGCTGGAAAAAACAAACTGTGAACCGTCCCTACACCCTATGCTTTGTGTGAAACATGAGATCGGTAAGACAGAGAATTACCCTATCAGTCATGACTCCGCGTGAGCAGACTAGCTCCTATTCTATTGAAGTGTTCTGCAGTTATGTTGCAGTTTGCACCGGAGGTCTCCAGTTAGCTCCACCGATCATACACTGTGGTGTGGAGCTAGTCAAACAAAATCATGTGACTAAAGGTGCACATGGCTTGAATAAAGGTACTTAGAATTTTTTTTTTTTTTAAACTGTGAGGCAAACATCCAGCTACAATGGTATATAAACATGATATAAAATGAGAATTGTAGCAGTGAATTCAATATCACTTTAAGAGAAAGCACATTTGTTTTTGGTAAAAAAAAAAAAAGTTGAATTTTTTTAATCAACTGCCTGCATGCTTGAAATCACTTTGTGTACAACCAACTAAACCACATGGTCCCTTCTCGAATGAAAAAGAGAACCCAGATGAACAGACAGAATTAGAAGTACGCTTAGAATTGTGCAAATTCATCATTGATCAGCGTAGTATTTGAAAGCAATAAAGGAAACCTGTACTTACATCTAAGACATATTCTTGTATGACAGCATGTAAGATTATTGCCACAAGCATATAAAAGAAAACTGTTGACATGTCTTTAATTCCATAGTGATAAAATGAAACTGGTTCACCTAGAACACCTGAAAAACAAAGGAGAAACAAACCAAATCAATGTCATGGGATTAATCCAGAAACATCTACATTGCAAGTGATGACTTGCACTTCCTTTGACCTCCACCACATCACTATAGAGCACAATACAGACATGGCGGTTGGTGGGTAAGACCACTGAGCACTGTAGGGGACACAAGAGATAGGCAGTTCCCCGGAAGTGTTGGTTTCTTAGCAGACTTCAGAGCATGACTTCTTTGCGTATGGTGGAATAGTCAATGGGAGGAATACTTACTCTCTGTGGTCATTCAGTTTAACCTGCCAGGGGCGCTTTAACATTCAGTCTAACCTAATAATCTGTGTTTCTGTCCAACCTAATATTGTGCCTATGTCCAACTTTGTCCAAATACATCATGCTGATTGACAGGGCAGCTTACAGATAGCAGAAAAGGGAAAATCATTTCGGTCATCTGAGTCGGTTTTTTTTTTACCAGGCTCACTGTACAGCTACAACAAGCTGAAGAGGAGAGTGGACAATTCGAGTTACTTTGCAATTTGTTGACAAGTTTGGGAAGATCACATACGCAGCAGTTTTATTCCAGAGAATGGGCAGTCATTTTTCTAAAATGCATGCAGATTGTACTATGTGGGAAAGTTAGCTGCAAACAGATCTTTGTAAAAATGTTCTTATATAAGAAAATAAACAGATGTTTACGATATGCTCCAAGTTAAACCATGTGCCTTCTAACAAAGACTGAGAAGTTTTCATCAACCTGTCATTAAGTGCACTGCTATTTACCTGTAATAAAAAATTACCACTTGGCACATGTAACATCTGCCATTTAAAACCATCTGAAGTGCTGCCAAAAGCCAAGGACGTTCCAAATAGATTTAATTCAAGAAGGATTAGGTAGAGTGTATTTATTAATACAGCAATCATAGTTAAAATTATAACTCAGAGAAATGCAAACTTAGAAGACACACAGAAGTTTACAAACTTAAAGCGGAGCTCCAGGCAAAAGGGGAAGTTCTGTTTTAAGCCTTTGTCCCCCGATTCCCATTAAGGATTGGCATCTTTGGGGAGCGGGTACCCGAATTTGACAGGTACCCACTCCCACTACGATCGCCTAGGCGATCAGAAGCGGAAGTTGTTGTTCCCCCCCCCCCCCCCCCCCCCCCCCCGTGGTCTTCTGGGACACGTGACAGGTCCGAGAAGACTACAGGGCCATTCACAAAGCACAACGCTTCTCGCACATACGTAGTGGACACCCAGCAGTGAGGCCGCAAGCTCTCACACAACCGGGTGCCCACACTGAATATACCAGTGCTAGGGAGAAGACAGCCGGTGAAACCAGCGGTGGTGAGGACTCCGCTGGACCGAGGGACAGGTAAGTGATTGTATTTTAAAAGTCAGCAGCTATAGTTTTTGTAGCTGCTGACTTTTCATTTTTTTTTTTTTCAGGTGGAATTCCGCTTTAAGCAGTGCTGGGAGAGCTTTGGCCATCCAGCAATCCAATGGGAGAGTCTACTGTTCTAAGGCTGAAAGTTCTGCAATAGCTGGAGGGAATCAAGCATTCTCATTTTTAATATTAGAAAGGATTCTGAACTCCGGGGATGAAATATATACACACACATTATATATATATATATATATATATATATATATATATATATATATATATATATATATATATATACATATACATATATATATATATATATATATATATATATATACATACACACACACAGACACACACACACACACACACACAAAACACAGCTCAGGCAGGACTTTACATAATATCTCATCCAAATAAATGAATAAAGTCCCATATAAAGCTAAACTCAGCTTCAGTCCTGGTAGGTTGCACTAGGATAAACACAGGCTGTGTCTTTAAATAGAACACAGCATACAGATGGAATCTAATTTCTATTCTGGAACTTTTCTTTTGGATAACAAGATAACATGGATTTGCGGCTTGTAACCCATTTCGCAAAAGCCCTATAAAAAGCTCATCATTAGGGAGCATATACCAACATTCAAGAGTCATGGCTAGTATCTGTACTACAGTAGTCACTGAGATGCAATTTTAATGCTGTTATATAGCATGCATTACTGTCTGCATGCCAGCCCCATCAGAGTTTATAAAATACAACCCCTATATAAATGCTCGTCATACACGCATCAGTTTTTTTTATGTGATCAAAATTTCTAATTGCTTTCTTTCTCCAGATGTCTAAAATGATTTCTGGATGCAAAATAAATGGTAAACTTGCCTGCATTAATGTCAAAAACGTATTGAAGTAAACAAAAACAAAGTGACTGTTGCAGACAAATCATGAAAATGACTAGCATTTCCCAACCCATCCAATGAGTTTCTTCTATGATATGATCCCATAAAATCAGCCAGGGGTAAGTAAGAAATTAAAAGCAATTTTGACATTTTTTTGAAAAACTTTCTTTGCCTCACTATGTATAAATAGACTACTGTCTCGATATTTGTTTCTGTGTATTACTTGTTCATGTACTACGATCAAAAATTATGAAATTATGTTTTATTGTACAAATCAGTTGAATATACTGCACATCACAGATTTTTACAATATTCTGCAAGAAAAAGTACAAAAAAAAAAAAAAAAAGGAAAAAGAAAGGAAGCTATCACACAGGTAATAATTAAGGATCAGCGCAATGTTCAGTCCAAACACAAGTTTATCCCCAACTTTAGCTGTTCAGATGTTTGACTGGATGCTGGACTTTTTTTTGCTTTTTTGTTGGGAACCAAACATCATCATAGTTTCAGTATCATATTTCTGCTTCTAGTACATATGACAGCTTCCTTCCTGTCATGGGTTGTTAAGAAAGTGGCGGGTGCACCCAAACAAGATCTTAGCAACCAGTGGTGTCACCCAGCCCTATTTATTTACTGGCTGGGGATCCTCAACAATGTAAACAAAAGGGCGGCAGATAACACTGACATCATTGATCAAAATAACCACAAGGGAGAATCCACATGCTTGTTCCTCTCCTGTTAATGGCCAGCCAAGCTGCATGCTTTTTTTTTTGGTGTGTGTGTGGTGGTGTTGGTGGTCTTGGTGGTGGTGGTGGTTCCCATGGACATCTATACCAGATGCTTATCAAAGAAAAGGGTCTGGCACGTCTCGCAGGACCCCTTCATCACATGCTTCACATAAAATCCCAATGAAATACATTTACGTGTATGGTTGTAACATTACAAAATGTGTAAAATAAATATATATAGGTCCAATTAATTCCTTTTAAAAATGAGTACCTTACTTCCTAGAGATCATCTTAATAGAAAGTGGTTTTATCTTCATGGTCTCCAAGATTTGTGTTGGATTACAGCCATAAAATTAAGAGACACTTGTGAGCACAACTACTGCAGAGCCATGGTCCTTCCCATAGTAAATCAAAGCAATTAATTTTACAAAGGCTCAGACTTGAACTTTGCTGCCTGAGGAGAGGACAGCTCCCTGAATCTGTAAGCACTTGCACATTTGGACCTGGACTGCTCACTGCAAGAACTTATACTAAATACAGCTCAGATATTCAGGTCACTTAATGAGAGGGTAGGACTCAAAATAAGAAGGCTACAATGATAAAAAATGGCTGACCAAATGTATGAAGCTTTATAATATTTGTCAAGACTTAAAGTGACATTAAACCTTTTTTTTTCTCTTTTAATTAAAATAACAAACATAGTATACTTACCTGCTCTGTGCAATGGTTTTGCACAGAACAGCCCTGATCCTCCTCTTCCAGGGTCCCCTGCCAGCGCTCCTGGCCCCTCCTCTTTGACAAGTGCCCTCATGGAAAGCCACTTTCTATAGGGGCATCTATGCGGGCTTGCTTCTGAGCCGCCCTGTCTGCGTCTATTGACACAGAGCGGACAGCTCGGCCCGCCCCCTCTTGCTCATCACATAATTTGATTGATAGTAATGGGAGTCAATGGCTCCCTCTGCTATCAATCTGCCTAGTGAAGAAGTCAGTGAAATCCCCTGCTCTTGTGCATATTTCTGGATCAGTTTGGGCCTTGGGGGGGCTGGGGGGGATCCTGCAGCATAGACTGTTTTTCACCTTAATGCATAGAATACATTAAGGTGAAAAACCTTAAATTGTTACTGAACCCACAACAGTAAAATCAGTCTATATATGCAGTAAAGCATGCTTGTTATACTCACTGTGGAACCTAAGGGGTTATTCTTCTGCATTGTGTAAAACCGTGGTTTGATCCTGACTTCTCCGATCCTCCCTTTCTCTCAGTGTCCCCATCTTATCTCTTGATAAGACATATTCTGTGGAGTCACTCTGCACATGCTCAGTTTGGTGTGTATTGCTAGAGAGGTTTTTTTTTTTCTCTTGGGATGGTGCATGTGATCAGCACAGGGCCAATCAGCACTGTCCAGACATAAATCAGGGGTTCTGCATCCTCCTGGAGCAGGAAAAAAAAACTCCCCCTACAAGCTTTAACCAGTGCTTGGCCGGACATGGATAGATATCACAAGACTACTATATACTGCTGATGAGAAAAGGTATTCAGCAGTTTATATTTACTAAAATAATTGCATTTCCATGTTCTGTGTAATATAGGAGACCGGATATAGCGAATTCAGGGTCCTGGGTTTAGTAACACTAAGGCTTTAGAATTACTGTTGTCTGTGCCCCCATCTGTGAGATTTCCCTTTTCCTAGGGTACACAAGTGTCCCCAAAGTGAGAAAATCCACTACTGACATGTATAACAAGAACGGGTGTCCGCCCCCTCCTTTCCATCGACAGTTGTTCCTTGGGCATTGTTAGATACAGCCAACAGGGACACAGACAGCAATAAAAAAATTTAAAAGATCATATTCAGAAAGTAGTGGTTGATGATTCATACTCTGAATGGTCTAGCGTTGTCAGTGGTGTACCCCAGGGTTCAGTGTTGAGACCCTTACTTTTTAATATATTTATAAACAATATAGGGTCTGAAATTAAAAATCCCATTTCAGTCTTTGCAGATGACACCAAGCTGTGCAGTGGAATAACATCCTTACAGGATGTCTCCAACTTGCAAGCCGACCTCAATGCACTGTTTAATTGGGCAACTATGTGGCAGATGAGATTTAATGTTGATAAATGTAAGTTTCTGCACTTGGGGGCTAAGAATATGCATGCATCATACATACTAGGGGGGGGGGGGGGTACAACTGGGGGAATCAATAGTGGAGTAGGATCTGGGAGTTCTGGTAGATCACAAGCTTAATAATGACATGCAATGCCAAGCTGAGATTTCTAAAGCGAGCAAAATCCTCTCTTGTATTAAAAAAGAGGTATAGACTCCAGAGAGAGAGATATCATTTTACCCCTGTACAAATCATTAGTAAGACCTGATCTGGAATATGCAGTTCAGTTTTGGGCACCAATTCACAAAAAGAACATTGGGGAACTGGAGAAAGTACAGAGAAGGGCAACCAAACTGATAAGAGGCATAGAGGAGATCAGCTATGAGGAAAGATTAAAGGAATTTAATTTATTCTCTCTTGAGAAGAGGAGATTAAGGAGGGATATGATCAATTAAGTATAAATACATCAGTGGTTCATATAGTGAACTCGGTGTAGAGTTTTTCACCCTGAGGTCATCACAGAGGACAAGGGGGCACTCTTTATGTCTATGGGAAGAGAAATGTAATCTCCAAAAACGGAAAGGTTTCTTCACAGTAAGAGCTGTGAAAATGTGGAATAGACTCCCTCAAGAGTTGGTTCTGGACAGCTCAGTGGATTGCTTTAAAAAAAGGCCTGGATTTTTTCTTAGATACACAGAATATAACTGGTTACTAACATTTATAGGTAAAGTTGATTCAGGGAATATCCTATTGCCTCTCGGGGGATCGGGGAAAGGATATTTTCCCCTGCAGGAGCAAATTATATCATGCTTTGCTAGGTTTTTTGCCTTCCTCTGGATCAACTGTGGGAGCAAGGGAGGGCTATAACTCATCAATTTTTATTTTGCCATCTGTGTCCCATTGGGAAGATTTCCCATCACTTCCTGCCCCATTGCCAAACAGGAAGTGCAAGGAAATCCCTGCAAATTAGAATTCCTTGGGGACCCCCAGGTCAGCAGAACTAGTATCCCCAAAGGAAGCTGTCCCCTCTATTACCTTTCTGGGTACAACCCAAAATTTGGGATTTTCTATTACTTTCACTTTTATTGTTAATGGTAAGCAGGACAAATAGGGAGGGAGAATCTCCTTAACAGGGGCACAGACAGCAATAAAAATTAACAGGTGTTCTAATCTATCGCCACAATGTCCAAAACTAAAGATCTGCCTTTAGGTATACTTTAAGCAAGGAATATGAACCTGTAAGGTGACAAAAACAACCTCCACCATTTCCACCACAGCTTTTCAGAATCCAATAGCTGAAAAAGCTATTTTTTTATGTTCATATAAACTATTTTTCTAGAACAGGTTTTGCATTCAAAATTATTGTGTACCAAATGTGTAAAATCATAATTATATGTTTGAAAAAAACTTACCTTCTACTGGAATGGTTACATTATACTGTAATGTAACAAACATAACTGCCACTTTTGCTGTAATCTAAAAAGAAAAGGGACTAGTATAAGTTACAAAATAGTAACAATATTAAACACAATAATAAAAAACAAACAAGAAAAATCATTTTATTACAATGAAGAGCTGTGTCTGTGCACAGCTCTCTACATGATGACTGACACCAAAGACTACAAGGAAAATGCACTCAATCATGGGAGCTATACATTTGCCTAGAACTGTATTTTAAAAAAGTTAAAATACTAGCAATCTCCCCTTATATTGGTTCCCTGTAATCTGCAAATCAGAGGAAAGGCCTCACAGCAATGCACAGTGCAGTCAGTCTAACCATGGAATACAACTGACAGAATGACAGAGCACAGCAAAGATCATCTGTGTGGGGGGGGGGGGGGGGTTTATGATCAAGCTGTATTTCCCAAGTAGTGGGGTCCAGTAGTGAAGAGAAGAGGTAACTAAGCAATGTGGTCTGGCAGAGATGCCTGGCTCCCAAAATGTACACTCATTTTTGCAAATATGAACACTGATATGCCATAGATGTGGCGGCTTTCTACAAAATAGCACCATGTGGTACAATACCGAGTGTGCCAAAAGTTATTCACAGGACTGTTTTTTTTCTGTACATTTTCCCCTCCAGAGAACACTTTCAAAACCTCCAGCACAAAAAAATAAAAGGTTAGTGCACATGTAGGTATTATACAGAGATATGTGGGGTTTTATGGATGAAGTGGAAAGTGTGCTGTCACTGCCTCACCTCTCCACCGATCAGAGAATGCTTTGTATTTATTCAGAGGATGCAAGGTGTTTTCTTTTGCCATTCAGAGATCCATTGCACTCAAGAATTAAGACGCACCAACCAGAAGTGACTGCTGATCATGTCTTTCTGGTTTGCTTGTTGGTTTCCCAGTGCACCCTGGGATATCTCATCCCTGCAATACCTCCAAAACAAAGCAAAGCTAACCCTGAATAAAAGCCCCTCAAAAGCTGCAGGTGCTGTTAGTGGGCTTTGTCATAGGCTTCTATGGAGGCTTTGGAGATGCTTTGAAGCACCAAAAAGGAACATGGGGTATAATTTTTGAAGCAAAGCAAACACAATGTATAAACAGGACTGGTAGCTTTCCATTTTGTTTAGTGACAGGTTTATTGTTTGGCATTCAGGGTGCTTTAAAAAAGTATGTCCAATGTCACATTTTGAAGCACGTGTAAACAAGTCCTTGTAGCTCGTAAGCAGCTCATATACTTTTGAGCTACGAGCTTCAAGCAACACTATGCTCAGAAGTGAGCCGGCACAACTAAAAATCATTGGATTTTGAATGTTTTGGACTTCTGAGCTACAAAATGCTTAGGTGTGAATTGGGCCAGTGTGTGTGACTTGCAGGATCACTAGGGTTAAACAACTGAAAGCTGAAAACAATTGCAGCCACTAAATCTAAGTACTGGTTATCTGCAATATTATATTCATTTTTTTCTCTTGGGTTTAGACAAGATGATTACTTTTGGATAGTTCATAAGCAGTCACCGTGTTAGAATTCCCACAGAAACATGGATAAGGCTTAAAACTCAAAAACCAACTCCAAGAAGGGTTGCTGCATATTTCTGTGAACTGAACTTCTTCCTAGCACTGTTGCTGAGACAAGTAGATCTATGCTGCCACGTTAACATCGCTGAGCAATTCTAGGCATGGAGCCAGCACAGCACGCTGCAGCCACTGGAACAGATACGATATCCCACATGTACAGGCCACCCAGAGCCTTTTCATGTACTAGAAAGCAGACAAAGCCTGCAAGCCATAACTTTCCTTCATCCACACTTCATTTTGGATCTTTCAATGCCCATCGGCACACAATTAACCCTGCAATGCAGAAGTTAAAACAGCTTACGCAGGCTTCACTGGCAGTAGACTGAGAGGAGTTCAGTTATTTGGCACTTGGTTAAACAGGTGAGTAAGCAGAACCGTTGTATCCAGCTAGCAGCAATTCTGGCAGTGAAACAGGCAGAACACACCTAGACAAACTCTTTGTCAACCTTGTCCTGCAGGGCCAAATCTTATCATCCTTACACATTGCCACTCTGCAGCTAAAGAGAATTTTAACATAGAAATGGTATATATTTACAAAATTCCATTATAGATGGTTTATAACAAGCAATTATAAACCAGATCAAGTACTCAGATGTCGCATTGCATCAGTCTGGCAGACTACCAACTTTTAACAGGCAATGGGTTAACAGCATTTCACTTACTAGATAAGAGACTTAAGCTGGCAATACATGGCTTGCTTTATGGTCGATTCCTGCTGAATGTGGATGGGCCTGCAAGCCGCATACAGGTCTACCCAAGTTCTTCTGAAAATCAACTGAGCCCAGTGGAAAACGATCAGCTGAGCAGTGATGCAGCTGCATGATCGGATGCAGTTACTGTTTGGCTCTTTAGGCAACCACAGGTGTTGGTGGCTTTCTTAACACAATAGTTGGTAGGGGATTCCCTCCATACTGTTTAGAGTGGATAGAGAATCAATGGATTTTTTTCTTGTTTGGCCTGGGAACTGAAGAAGAAGAAATGAGGGACATATGGCTAGCCTTCATTTTTAGCACAGGCGAAAATCTTTTGGGTGGTAAAAAAATGTATCTGATGTTCAAGAAGCCACTTAATCAGTTTAAAGCAGAATTCCAGTTAAATTTTTTTTATTTTCCCATGCAGTGGGGCTGTGCCTGCACTGCATGGGTTAACTGCTCATTTTGTCTAGGGGCTCAGGGAAAAGCTACAGTTACCCTGTCCTTCAATCCTCTGGACAACCACGCTCCCCCATGTCCAGCGGTGGACTGTTCCTGCTGTCCTCATGTCTATATGGGAGTGGTGACATCATGAACAGCCCATTCACAAGATTGCCAGCGTGCAGAGGGGCAGGAGTGGTGGGGACCAGTCTTGTGCTCTGAGGATCGGCAGATTAGGCAAGTATATCTCAGCTTTACAGTCACCTAGACAAAAACGTGCATTTAACCCATGCAGTGCGGGCATGACCCCGCTGCATGGGAAAAAAACATTTATGCCCGGATTACTTCTTTTAAAAGAAGTAATTCACTGGGAGCTTGTAAAAAGCACAGGCATAGCTTCAATTCTCGCAAAACACATGTGCACTGCCATGGGCTTTTTACAGCACTGTGTTGAGTTGTTCTAACACGTTCCTGCTTGTTTTTCTTCTCCAGGCTTGAGCATTAGGTCACTACCTATGCCAAGCAAGCTACAATAAAATGAAACAGGCTCTGTTTTTTTTCCAGTGCACACCAAAGCAGGACATGGTGTGAACTACCACTGAAAACATGGTTATTTCCCTTGACTTTGCATTGAGATTGGTTTCAGCAACACTGCCCAATGCTAGTGGTGTAATCAAACCCTGAGATAACAAAAACGACTTGGATCCCTCTACAATGACCAGCTATTACTGCACTGTATATATATTAGCACTCAGACTGAGAGAAGGAAAGGCCGGCACTAGCAGGCAGTCAAGATCCAGAGAACTGTACATGTGCTAAAAAGGAACATGCCAACAAGACAAGAGCGAAACCTCATCACACGGCTGACATCCTTCACTGTCTAATCACAGGCTGAGGCCAAGGACGTGACCTAACTGTACTGCTAATTTGTATATGATAACATTTCTGGTCACCAACCTTGCTGTGCTGTCTGCAGGACAACATTACAGGGTCAATTCCAAAAGGATTCAGCATTAGATATGAAGGTCATGTGACTTATTTCAGAAATATCACATGAGATAATATGAGAGTCAATTCATCAAAATAAAATACTGAATGTGAGTTAAAGGAGTGAATGTGCAATAAAAAAAAAAAAAAAAAAAAAAAAAAAAAAAAAAAAAGCATTCACTAAGGCTACGTTCACACTAGCCTTGTTAGCAAGCGGCAGCAGACAGGCATTTGGGAAGCATTTTTACCGTTTCTCAAACGCCTAGGAAAATTCTGCACATTGCTGCACATGGTGCTGTTCAAACAGGAGTGTTAGCGTCGCGGCAAAACGGACACCTCTGGTCGAGTCAGGAGTCGAAGCCTCCTATTCAAGTCTATGGTGCCGCTCCCGCAAACACCCGGCCGGTTGCAACACAGTTGCAGGGCATTTGCGGAGCGTTAACACCATTCAAACTTCATTATAGGCGTTTGTGGGGCGTTTTTAACACTTGGCAAACGCCTAGCAACCGCCGCTAAACCGCACATGCTGCGTTTGCGGAGCGTTAAAAACGCTCCGCAAACGCCGGACCAATGCTTGTCAAACGCTATAGCGGCGTTTGGCAACAGTTAGAAAAACAAGTCAAGGGTGAACGAGCCCTAAAGAAGACACAATTGTTATTTATCACCTGGCAGTAGGTAGTCGGTAATTTAGCAATGTACAAAATAACAACGAGGGGAACTCTGCACTGGCCAGTAAGTTAAAAGTATACAATGTATCAGTGTGGAAAATGTTCTGCCCTGAGCTCAGGAATGAAAATAAATTGTAACATTTCATCAGAGGGATATCATTCTCTAAATGAAAACACACTAGAATGTTTGCAGTTTCAGAATATTTCTGTTTGCATTTATTTACAGAACTATCTTCCTCTGGTGCAGTGTTGGCATGTAAAAAAAAGAAAAGAAAAAAAAACCCACCTAAAATAACTCTAAATTTCAGTGATAAATATAGCAAAACAAATACTTAATGCATTCAGTAAATAATGCATGTTTTTTACTGAATTAACTACTTTTGAGATAAATATTGCATTTTATTTTAACTCAAAAATGTATGCAGTATTTATCTCCTAATATATTGAACCCTACAAGTCTTACGTTCGATAAAACCCATGTCATCTGTAGTTACCAGTTTGCCTGATAATTTGGTTTTCAAGCAGAACTAAACCATTGATTTAATAGTTCCTTTTACTTGTGCTCTCAAGCAAACTGTCAATCAAATGGTCAGATTCATAACTGATCACATGTGCAGCATCACGGCAGATCAAACAAAGGAAGCTTCCTTGGCTGACAGGAAT